TTTTTTTGGGTCCTGGAATTTTAGCTGATATCTCCCTACCTTGCACCAATCCTTCATGTTGCAAAGGATGTGTCCTTGTTCTCTGCCTTCACAACGAAGGAGAGCCTCGTCGGCAATGAAAAGATTAAGGGTGTAGAAAAAGYTGATATGTTCATGCAAAGCTCTACCAGTCGTCATGGAAGTGTTTCCTGATGACAACAATTGTGGATTCCAGTTCTTGATYTGTTTCAGTATAAACCTTTGGGGTGGGGTTCGCAAGTATGGGTTTATCATGACCTGCAGTGTGTTGGGGAGGAGCTTTGTTAACCGGCATCTTGCCTATATTAAGGGCATCGCGGTACGTGGAGGGGCCATTTTACTGCTGTGGAGGATGGGGTTGGGTGATTAATTTGCAGGGTCGACGGGTGTGGCTGTTTAGCAGGGCCGTTTAGAAGGGTATAAAAAGCTTTCCATCCTTTTCTATCTTCTCCAATGGGGATTAGCAACTTATTAAGTCCTCCATTGTTGTCAAGCTTAGCAATCTCTGCCAGAGTGCCTTTTCTGTTGAAGGTTTTCTCTACCCAAAGGGTTTGATCATCGATACGCGTTTCCTTGAAGAACTTTTGGTTGATGGGGAAAGTAAGGAGAGTGGAGAAAATGTTCTTGAGCAAGTCAAGAGATGACCAATKGAGGGATATGAACTTTTGGTTGTTACGCGTTTCTGTGATTTGTACTCTGCTGCCTCGATATCTATGATCAATGGTCAAAGCGAATCATTTTCTCTCGATAGTAACAGGTCCTAAAGATAGGTGGGGGCCATGGGGAGGCTTCAGGTAGAGGCATGGTGGGTTGCCGGAGAAGGGAGGGTGGCTGGGTTGGGGGTAGTCGGGAGAGGAGCGGAGGTAGAAGAGACATAGCTTTTTCCTTCTACTTCTTATTAAATTTTATGATTATGATGATTTATGCAAACCAGAGTTTTCGAGGCGCACCTGGCTTCGCCTCAGGCGAGAGATGAGACATTTTTGCCCAAGTGCGCCTCGCAAGGTGCAATCAGGTGCTCGCCTTTGGGCGCCTTGGCGCGCCTGTCGCCTGAGGCAAGGTGATCGCCTCCTTCAAGGGGGCGATCTGCCTTATTTATTTATTTTTTAATTTTGTATGTGTTTTTTTTTTTTGTAAAACACCCCCTGCACGACCCAAACCCTATCTCTGCCTCCCCTCCCTCTCGAGATTCACCTTCACGGGCTTTAAGCCTTCACCACCATCAATCTCCGTYGTTGCTTGTCTTTATTTGGAACTAAACTCATAGAATTTGGTTGTTTTATGTATCTTGTTGACATTTACTATYTTGGTATTAATTCTTTTAAGGTAATTTATGCACTATATATATAATTTTTACTTATTTATTAAGGTGCGCCTCGCTTCAATCGGGTGTCGCCTTTGTATCGCCTCTCGCCTCAAGGCAATCAAAGGACTTGTCGCCTTGCGGTGCGCCTTGCGCCTCRAAAACACTGATGCAAACGTTATGTTCTTGGTTGCTGATATAGTCTTGGGCATACTGGAAACTATGTTAATTGAGTTTTGGATGTGACAAACAAAACATTGCAAACTCTCTTGAACTAATTCACTTATTACTACATATTATATATAAAATGGAGTAGTTATATATAAAATGGACAATACTCGGGGTTTTTATGAATGAGTTAGTACGGGGGACTATGTTAATTGTTGCAGTGGTTTTGGTTGGTTGCAATTGTGGAAACATGCTGCTTGAGATTGTTATGTTGCAGCATGAAAGCATGTATTAGCATCTTTGTACATGAGTTTATTAAGTTGAGCATGATTGAGAAAGCATGTTATGGGACTGGAATGTGAGTTCTAGAAATGATATGGATAAAAAATGATCGKGGGTTGATATGTCAGTGTCTAAGGTTGTTAAATCGTGAATCGGAACGTAAATCGTAATTGAAGTTTAATGTATTGTGTATCGTAACGTATCATGTATCGTAAGTTTTTTTAATATATATATATATATATATATCAAATAGCAAATAAGTTCAACATTCCTTCTAGTGAATGTGAAAAATAAGATTAAGACTCCAAAATAAGTATCAAGAGACTTTAAAACAACAAAATAGCTTCTTTCTTCAACTATGAACTTCAATATTCTAGAAACCAATATCATCCAAAAGATCATCACTGTCAAATGCTTCATCTCCGTTGCTTTCTTCTTCTACTAATTCTATTCCTTCTTTCCCTTTTTCACTTTTATTTGAAGAAAGATCTCTCGACCCTGAATAAAAATAAATAACTAATGTTACTTATGTGAAATTAAATATTTAGTTTAATAAAAATAGTAAAACCATTACCTCTCTTTCGCTTTTTGCTACTTTCTACTTATTGAATGTCAAAACATTCATTTACGTTCATCCAAGAGGTGTTTTCTGGCAATGTTGGATCTTCTCTCTCAGTAATCCATTCATCATCAGACTCTAAATCTGATAGAAAAATAGGATCATATAATTCACCTTCTAAAATTCTTTTTTTGTGTCTTGCTTCTAATTGAAGATTATATTTTACAAAAACTAGTACACTCAGTCTTTGCTGTTCCAAACAGTTCCTTCTCTTTGTATGCACCTAAAAAGTTGTCAATGTCAATATTGTAAAGTCTAACACAATTATGTGAAATCATTTTTCTAATCCTTTCTCTTAGTCTCCTAACTGAGAATGAGGCATCCTAAAATAGATAACATACCTGATCAAATGTACTCCAATTTCTCTCACACCCTGTAGCACTACAAGTGAGGCTAAGGATTCTAATAGCAAGATTTTGGAGCTCTTTGCAGCCTCCTCCAAAAGATTCCCACCACATAGTTTGAATAAAACAAACATAGATATCAATAACAAAATATCTTTTGTTTCATTATTGAATATAGGAAACTAGAGTTAATATTTTTTATGCTTTTAGTTTCTCTTTTACCTGACTGCTTTTTGTTGCGCATCTGAACTGCCATATCAATTCCAAACATGCTTTCTGCATTATGGAATAACTCTAGTTGCTTATCAACTTTTTCTTTGACTATTGGTGAAGGGCACATCCTCTAGATAGTTTGATAAAGTCCCATCTTGACCTCATAGTCAGCATTAAATTCAGGAGCATAATGAAATCTAGGATTTAGTTTTCAAAATTTAATTAGTATCCATCTAAGTATGATACTAATGATAGAAATTAGGAATGAAACTTTACCTTGGGTTAAGATAATATGCTGCTGCATGAAGAGGCCTATGAAGTTGCATTGCCCATCTCTTATCAATTATGTCCCATATAGGTTTATAATGCTTCTGGATTTTGTTGAAATTTTTCTCAATTTGTTCCTTTGCTTTGTCCATTGCTTCATATATGTAGCCCATTGCAGGTTTTGCATCACCATCAACAAGTCTTAGCACTTTTACTATAGGAACAACACATTTTAAGCAATACTTTATTGAGGACCAAAAGCTTGAATCACCAAGAATAATTTTCATTATAGCATCCTGATCAGATTTTTTTGCATATGTACTTCTTTGCCAATCTTCAGATCCAAACATTGCTCTCAAACCTATCTTATTTTCTACCAAACTTCTCAAAGTTAGGTAGGCAGTTGCAAATCGTGTTACGCCAGCCCTTATTAATTCTATCCCTTTAGTATGCTTTCTCATAAGGTTTAGAACCCAAGAGTGTAGATAAATATAAACAGTAATTTTCCTAGCTTTGGACATTGTATCATTATGTAAGGGCATATCTCCAATATCTGATAAAATCAAGTCTAGGCAATGTGCAGCACAAGGAGGCCAAAATAGATGTTTGTATTTTCCCATCAATATTTCTCCAGCTTTGACATAAGCAGATGCACTATCTGTTACCACTTGAACTACATTATCTGCACCAATTTCTTCTGTACTTTTCCAACAACTCTATATTGATTGTCTCCACCATCTAACCTCATGATATGATGGAGGTTTTAGTCCTGGACCAAATGAAGCAACCGAATCTAATATAATCTTGAAATAGGGGTTTTTAACTAAATTAAAAGAAAGGGCATTTGAATACAAAAATCTATAAATATCTGTGCAAACACTTTCTCTATCATCTTTCTTCCATATGGTGTTCAAAGTAGCAGAATTAGATTTTTGTATGCCCTTTCCAAAAGCATCCATCATCAATTTTTTTGGCTACTACCAATATCTGCTTCATCTTTATCATGAAAATCATCTCCATCCTTATTTTTCTTGTTTTCATTCAATAATTTCTTGAAAATATCTTGTAATTCATTTGAAACTTTACTATATGGAGCAACATATTTTCGAGTATGTACTARATGATTTTTAATCCTAAAAATACCTCCCCAATAAGAATTTCCACAATGATTACATCTCAATTTGAGTCTTCTATTTTTTCCTTCTTCAATTTTAACACAATGATCCCACGTTGGATCACTACCTTTACTGCCCTTCTACCATTCTTTTGCTTCGTAGAATAAAAATAAATAGTAAGAAAGTGCTACAATGGTATAAATTAAATGAAAAACCTGAAAATATAAGTCCACTTGAGAGTTGAGAGCACCAGATTCTCTATGGGAATTGGGAACGAGTAGCTTTCTGTTTATGTACTGTGAATCTGTGATGTTAACTTACTTTATGAGGTGTGTGTTATATATTAATAAATAAAATAAAACAATTTTGATTATATTTTATAATTTAAAAATATTAAAAACTTTTCATCTCCTTCCCCCTTGGAACCCAAATGGGCCAAACCCAACAATAAATTTCGTTTTAAATTTTAAATTTTATAATCCCAATTGGCAATTACAGTCAAACTAATTATTCTTCTGCCGCTTCTTCTTCCGCCCTTTCTTTTCTTCTTTCTTCTTCTTCTTCTTCTTCCGGCGCTTCTTCTTATTCTTTCTTCTTCTTTTTCCGCCGCTTCTTCTTCTTCCGTCCCTTTCTACTGCTTCTCGACATGGAACGCACGACCAGGTGAGTAAACCCCCCCCCCCACCGTTTTGAAACGTACGATACGCCAACATTTGCCACCGTTAGGTATCGAGACCTTGCGTAAAAATGGTCGATGATCGATACACCAACCTTAGATAAGATGAGTGTCAAGGACTCGGGTAAGTATTGAGATCTTGGTGAAAATAGTTAAGGGTCAATACGGTTAAAAGGGTTCAGGGTCGATACAACTCGCTCAAAGAGCTCTTGAAAGATATCAAATGTGTTTGAAAGAGCTAGAAAAAGTTTGAAAGTGTTAGAGATTCTAATAGAGTTGTGATTTGAGGCTTGGGCATGACATGTAAAATGCATGTTTAGTTGAACGTAGGTGTTAAATGTTCTGTTTAAAATTATGTTAAGCATGTTGTATTGGCAAACATTTTGAATTGATAAGCATGTTATTTGTGCACGACCCTTCAAGTGAGGCTACTTAATAGGTCTTCACGTACTCCCTCCATAGATTTTACCGGTAATGAGGAGTCCTTTGAGTATGTTGATGATATGGAGGAGACTTGACTAGAAAGACGATGTGATTACGTTATTTATATTATCTTAGCTTCGTTATTTAATCTTGAGTATGGATTGGATAATTTTAAGTTGATTTTTGCATCTAGTATAGGTTTGTTCCTTGATTGGTAGGAAGATTTTGGTTGGTTTCTGTTTAAATTATTGAACAAACTTGTTAGCAAGCAGATAGAATAGATGATTTTTTATTCCAGTTGATTTGTTTTAGAATTGAAAAGTTCTTGAGTGTTAGTAGAGATCTAGTTATCCACTCCTGTTTATGAGAAGCAATCTTTATGCATTATTCGAATGGAGTTTTAGCAACGTTTGTGTTTGGGTTATTGAAAATTTGGGGGCATTAACCATTGAAAGACATCTTGATTCCCCTGTGATTCTAACTCCCCGTTCCCTTCAGCTTCATCTGAAAATTACCCATGGCGGAAAATGTCTCTTCAGATGACAAAGGATCAGAAAGAATAAGTTCCATGGAGATCCCTTTGCCTGTAGATAAGTTAGCATTGGAATCGATTGGCCATGGCTCCTCCTCCGGCCCCCAGATCGAGTTAGTTTCCCACTCCCGTTTCTTTGATAACATTTTATTTGTTTTTAGCTAAATGGGTAAGTTTCATTACATTCCTTTATTTGAGGCCTTATGTTGTTCGAATTTTTGGCTAATTTTCTGTTTAAAASTCATTGAGATTATCTTTTAATGTAGTGGGCCTAAAATGCATGTGGTTCTTGTAGCTACTGGAAGCTTCAATCCTCCTACGTATATGCATTTACGCATGTTTGGTGAGTTGCTCTGATAATTTCTCTCATTATGTTGCCTTAATTTACTTTGATATTCATGATAATCTGAAAGCTGGCCCGGATAGAGATAAATAATGGAGAAAGCTAATGAAATTATAGCACAATAAGTCCCCAAGGGGCAGGTCGGTTGACAAGGGCTTGGGGTCTCTTGATCATATTGGTTTAAAAGTCTCAAGTTTGAACTTTCCGACAAGCTTAATATCAAAAAATCTTGATGTCTCCCAAGTCCGGRCCTTGGGGCGGCGYGGGTGCCATGGGTATAGGGGAGCAAAGTTCCGACTCCTCACCATAAAAAAAAAAAAGAAAAAAAGAATTCTAGCGCAATGGATTTCAGTGTGGGAATATCAGACATATCTCGATGTATAAGAGTCCTTATAAAGTTACAGTACATCTAAGAGTATGATATCTGAATTTTGTGTTTATTTGAATTCATGTGTTCCTGCTCAACATAGTGAGGAAGCTATTGGATAGGCATAGGATTCTTTAGTCTTTATTCATTGAAATCATGTTTGTTGAGGTTTATGATGACTGATTAATGAACTAGTCGAAATACATCGTGATCAGTATTTAATTAGCTCTTCAGTTGATAATGTAGAGATTTCTTCTATTTAGGAAGTATCGAGATGAAATTTCCTTTTTCGTTTTCGAAAATTGTTTCGCCGTCCGCTTATGATTTTAAATCTTTATGGTTGTCACGATAATGTTATATCAATAACTTTTCGAACCTAGCCTAGAGAATGTTAGATACAAAAATCTTATAAGTAACAACTGAAAATTATTGTTAGTTACTTATTTATTCTGAATATTGAGTTTGGTTGTGATTAAAGTGAAACTTAGATTTTAATTTTGTGCATAGAGCTGGCAAGGGATGCACTTAAATTAGAGGGCCTTTGTGTTATTGGAGGTTATATGTCTCCAGTTAATGATGCATACAAGAAAAAGGTATGCAGCTTTATGATTTGGGAACCCTTTTGTTGGTAAAATAAGAAAAATAAAGTAAAATTCAAATACTTTCTGCAGTGAGTTACTTTTTTTTTTAATAAGAAATAATTTATTTCCCATAGGAAGTTTTTCCAGAATAGGGATAAGGGATCCACCTAAGCTTGAAATCGGTTGATATTATAAAAAAGCTATTCAATTTGCAGAAATAAATTAAGGGAATAAGTTTTGAAATGTCTGGAAACGAATCTCCAACCAGAGGAAATGGACGTAAATCAACTCTAATTGTTTCTAGCTTATACTTTCCTAACACCGTAGTATTATTTTAAAGAAATGAAAACAAGTGTTCCAAAAACCTTCATTTCCTGGTGTAAACTTTTTGATCAGGAATCACCGGCTCTTCTTAGACAAGGAGCTGGTTTTTGACACTCTTTTTGATAATATCCTATGTCTTGGTGTAAATCTTCCCCTTATTTTCACTCTTATAGTATGAACTCTCTTTTATCCAATTCGAGAGTATTCTGTAACTCCATTGGTTTTTTTTTGAAATTTTCTCTCCCCTCATGTATTTCACACATCAATAAAATTGTTTCTTACAARAAGAACCCTCATTTCTCAAAGTTTCCACTCCTTTAGGAACAATTGGAGCTTGCATAAAATTTCAGAGGGTTGAATGGTTTTGATTATGATAGAACCCTAACAACTAGAAATATATTGAAATGTAAAAGATAGAACAATACAGTAATTCCCAAGTAATTCGAGGTAGTTGGACTCTCCCCTCTCTTGTGTATTCTGACTCAAACCTAAACCAACTAAATTAATGCCTATCTTCATCCTTTCCTGCTCACTCTATTTAATGATAAATCTCCTACAACTTCCTTAGCTAATTACTAATTTACCATTAATACCCTAACAATATTCCCAGTTCTATACTAATAGCATTCTTATCCGATTCTTAATGAACTAGTCTTTATAAATGATGGTCGTCTCATGGTTACTATTTATATTAAGTTCTGTTGTATAGCCTAAACAGAGCAGAACTTCTGATTAATCTTTAGGGTCTTATATCTTCTGAACATCGAATCAAGCTCTGCAGCCTAGCATGTCGAAGTTCAGATTACATCATGGTCGATCCATGGGAGGTATTTTTTTTTGTCCTCCCATTCCCAAAGAAAAAAGGGTGCTATGGGTTATTCTTAGTATGCATATTGTGTGTTAATTTTCTGAAACTCAATTACTTCACCATCCTTATGGTTGGATGTTTTGGAATTTTACTTCTGATTTAGGCCAGTCAAAATGCCTACCAACGCACATTAATGGTTCTGTCTCGAGTCAAAACTTCACTGTGCAACAGCGGATTGATACACAAAGGTATGGTTTCTAGAGAATGATGATGCCATTAGAACTATCTAAGGGATGTTCTCGTCGTAAGAGTTTGGGTTGTTTGAAGATATATATCCTTTGAGGTCTCAGGTTGAGAATCTTTTAACTTAACCCTTGTCGTCTCTTGGATCTCTAGCCTTACAGTGGCGAAACTTTCCCCAAGTTAGACGAGTGTCTGATAAGGATCCTGATTCTTAAAAAGAAGGAAGAAAAACAAAATGATCATTAGATTCGTTAGAATTGARAACATGTGAACGACAAAATCAAAATGTCATCGACGTAGTCTAGTTTTACTTTATTAGGCACAATATCTAAATTCGGAAGTGATGGTAGAATTGGTTAAGTCCCATTTTGTTGATTTAAAGTTTTGACGTAAGGTTCAAATCTCAGTAATGCAAATGGTCTTTTGCTCCTTTTTCTTTTCATCCTTATATTAGAAATTTATATTTTTTTGAAGCATGCTTTACATGATTTTCTTCAGAAGAGTATTATAACAATTTTATTGTCTCTCTGCTTCCGAAAGAATTCCTGAAGGTGATGCTTGTTTGTGGTTCTGATTTGCTTCAATCTTTTGGAACACCCGGAGTTTGGATACCCAATCAAGTACGGATATTATCTCTATTCAATGAAGTGATSCCGATCGCTATGATTTGATTCAAGCTCAGTACTTGTCTCATTTTCCTTCATAGGTTCAAATGATATGTAGAGATTATGGTCTCGTTTGCATTCGCAGAGAAGGACAAGATGTCGGGAAAATCATATCAGACGATGAAATTCTATACGAGAATAGGGTAAGCAATGCAGTCACAAGGGCACTGCAGTTTTGTAGTTGCTTTTGTAAGTTCTAATGTTATCTTTTTTTACAGAGCAATATCAAAATTGTAGATGAAGTTGTACCCAACCAAATAAGTTCAACCAGAGTAAGGTAAGCAGAAACAAAATGAAGGGTAAATTTGGAAACGCAAAAATTTCGTTATTAATTCATATAATTATTTATATCTCTATTTACAGGGATTGCATTTCAAGAGGACTGTCAATCAAATATCTTATTGCAGACGAAGTTATTGAGTATATAAGAGAACAACATTTGTACTTGAATTCTTGATGCTTTTTCACTCATTTTCATGTCAAGAAAAACCATTATTTACCTAACCAGACACAAAGGTGTACAATCCAGTCAAAATCTGAGTTCTTGTTGTTCATTTCACCGGTTGTTCTTTTACTTGTTCTAGTGSCTGGCGAATGTCAACTGAGAGGGGWGAACGAATGGTTCAGGAATCGATTGGTTGATTGGTTTCCCGCGAAGCGAGTGAGCCATTTGCCTCGTTGTACATTCACTCCTATTATGAGAATGAAATGATGCTCCAGCTCAATTCAAGACTAGGACTCCTTACAACTTGCACCAAGTTGGTTAGTATATGGGGTGCTAGTATATGGGGTGCGATTGGAGATGGATTAAAAAGGTAGTCCAGCAATTTAGTAAGTCAATTTTAAGGAAATCAAGTAGAAAATTAAATATAAGCATCCTTATAATTTTACCTTTTTAAAATTTATATTGAGAATCAAACAATTTTACACCATAATAATAATTTAAAACGATAACTATTATTAAAATTACTCAAAATTAATTTTTGTATAAAAAATAATACTATTTACAGCATAGAAATATAATTCTAGATCATTTTCGGATGCAGAGCTAATTATAGAAGAGARAGGACTTTAGATGTCCCACGTCTTTAAATGACCATGTTTTTTTCCAAGGTAAATATATAAGGATTTCCGGAATATTTGAATAGCCACGTTGGATTTATTCAGGGGAATGTTCTAAATTTATATAATGTTTCAAAAACCCTCTTACGAATATTCATATAATTTATACATTAATCTAATATAATTTAAATTTATATAATAGATTTTCTTAAAATTATTTTAATATTTTAAGTTTTTTTTTATATTAATTACGTATATGTATTATTGTATATGTATTATTTTTTTTGTATGTTATTAGGTAGAATTTATATTAATATAAGACTTTTTTAAAAGCAATTAATATTAAATACAAAATTCATTTTCAACTTTAATATTTTTTTAAAAAAATTATACAATTAATGTTACATGGGGTAAAATTCATTTATTRTATTATCAAATTATATTCTTTTAAGAAAAAAATAAAAAAGTATGTTGATGGTTAAAAATATTGCTTTAAAATTATGTAATTTAAGATAATAGATATTATTYCTAATAATTCATTTCAAATATTAAAAGTAAATGGAGATATTATATAATATAATTGAAGTTKATTTTATATGTACATGTAATACATAAATATAGTTAATTGCTTATTAGTCAATGAGTATATTGATTTATTTAAATTATAAAATCACAAATAAAACCAAAGATATTTGATAAAAGAAAATATATGAAAAASTAATGAAGGRGTAAAAATGTCAACATAGGATGTCCTCGGAATYATTAAAACCCATGTTTCAAAAGACATTCAAATCGACTCAGAGGCCTTCCAAATGGGCATCMCAGGATACCCGGACATCTTACATTACCACAAAACAAACGTGTGAATGTAGATGTCTGTCACACGGGAATCTTGGATTCCTATGAAACAAATGGCCTCTTAGAGTTTTAATTTTTATAACTTTAAAAGGTAATSAGATAAAAAGAATGTATATTTTATACATTTTTATTATAAATTTACAAATACAACCACTAATAAATTTTAAGGTAAAATATATTTTTAGTCATGTTTTAAAAAGTGTCAGTTTAGTCTCTAACCTTTTGAAAATAGTTCAGTGTTATTTCTTTTGAATATTTCCATTTCGATTTCTCCCTTCCTCCTCCTTCTCCACCACTCCTCTTGGAGTGCTTTCCATTACTGCGTTCTCCAATTTGGCAACTGAGAACACAAATCAAGTACCAAAATCGTCATTTCCAAACAAAAAAAAAAAACCACTAGAAAAGTCTTTCATCACCCTCATCCTCACCAAATGCCAAAAAAAAAAAATTAAATACCGACCCAATCCCAATCTCTGTGTCATGTCTATTTGTCGTAGCTCAAGCTCTCTGACAAGCTGCACTCCAGATGCTCTGAAATTGCGTCGGAGAGAATCGATAGCTGTCCTGCCTCGACGGAAACCCCTTTGTTGGAGGGTCAAATTGTTGGTGGCCGACCTAGCCCTAGTTTCCATGCTTACCGACCCGACAGGTCTGCCTCATRGACTTAGCAGGAGAGGCTTGACATCCGAAGCTACCTAGTGACGCAGGGAATGGACCAGTCCCCAACTGAGACCTGGGATCGCTTGGAAGAGGCCAACCCGAACAGGGCTATATACAGATGAGACACTCATCTACCCATTGACAGCTATAAATATACCACCCCCTTTGGTGTCCAAGTAACAAAATCTGTCTAACACTGATCTGTTGAGTTCGAATTATTACTGACTTAGGCATCGAAGTGGCTTTCCTGTCTTGCAGGTACGTCTGCAGAACACTCTAAGTACCGATCCCGACCTCCCAGGTCGTCCTCCGGGCCTTGACAAATTTTTGCATCAACACCGTTCCTGCCATGCGTCTTTGATGGGAAAGAAAGAGGAGGGAGGGGAGAGAATCAGAAATGGGAAACTTTTTTTTAGAGAAAGAAATGGGAAACATTAAAACGAAATGAGACCTAAATTAAAAATATTATAAATTGAAACATGGTCTAAAAATTGCCAACTCAATCCGAGTCAGCATTCTGTTACTCACACTAATGAAAGTTTGACTTTAAAGACCTTTTAGAACTATTTTCTAAAGGTCAAGTACTAAACTGTCACTTTTTGAAACGTAGGGACGAAATAAAAATTTATGCTCAAACTCAGGGACTAAAATCCTTTAATTTTAGTTTATGAAATGAAGACTATAAATTATATTATAGTTATAATTATGATATGAACTGTGTTATTATTGAATTGATTAAATTAAGATTTTTTAAGTTTTATTAATTTTAATATTTTTTTCTTTCTATTTTATTCATTTATTTTGTCTCTAGATTAAATAAATCTACAATTTATCCTTATAAATGTTATTTTAGTCTCTAAACTTTTAAAATTACTATATTTAAATACATTAATTTTTAAAATGACTATTTTTGTTCTAGAACTTTTATTTGTTATATTTTGTTTTTTGAATTTTTCAAATGACTATTTTAAGGACTGTTTGGTTGGAAATTCGAATTCTGTTTCTTGTTTTCAAATTTACTGAATCAAATGGATTTAGTGAATACGCGTTTGGCAGGATTTTAAAGATTCGTTTTTTAAAATTTATTTCGAATTTGATTCAAATAGTAGAAATTCTGAAAATGATCTTTTTAGATTGCGTTTGGTTTATTTGTTTTTAGTGTAATTTTTAGATATGTGTTTGGTAGCAGATTTGGTAATTGAATCTCAATTTTAAAAATTGTTCAACGTGTGTTTAGTAATATATTTGTAASCTAGAAGTAGAGTTATAAACTGAATATTTAGTTTAATCTAAAGTTATATTAATTAATTTATTAACATTTTTTTATGAATTTTGTATAACTATTATTTTACAACGTTATATAATTTAGAATACATTGTATTTTACTTGTTTTAATTTTAACATAAAATGAATTTATAATATGAAGTAATATAGTTATCAAAGGTTTTATCATTTTTAATATAATTTTGCATCTTAAAAATTTTAAATTATGAATTTGAAAATATTGAAAACACTGAAAAATCGTTTTCAGAATTTCTACTGTTTGGATCACTGAATTCGAAAACAGTTTTAAAAAACGAATCTCTCAAATCCTGCCAAATGCGGATTCACTAAATCAATGATCTAGAGTGTATCTGAAAACAGAAAACAGAATCCCAACCAAACACCCTTTTAAGTTTTTAAACTTCTAACAAAATAACTACTAGTCCTTGCGTGCGGTTTGCTATCATGGTTGGGTTACTTGCAGAGTTAAATGAAATTAATTACTTATAAAGAGGTTATGTGGTGCTGGGAGGGAATGCTACTTCAATGCTAATTAATTTGCCCAATCTTAATGTCTATTCAAGACATTGGGGTTTTATTTTATTTGCTTTTTCTGTTTTTTCCTCCTATTTTCCTATAAAAAAAAGAATAAGTGCCTTGATTAATTATTATATTTGTTTAATTATTTATTAAAATACCATCATTTAATCATTAATGTTGGATTTTTTTTAAATAATACTTATTTTCAAACTTATTTGTAAAATAAGACTCTTTTAAAACATATTAAATGTATAATACGTTGGTTGAAACTTATTYCAAAAATAATGCTTTTGAAATTGTTCCACTACTCGGTTGTCTTTTGAAGAGATGACCATGCCATTTTTAGTATTTGATCATCTCTTCAAGAGATCCATGGCTCTTTCTTGACACCACTTCTGTTTTTTTTCCCTTAAATCAAGTTATGGTCGTCTCTGAAGAGACGATTATTTGTTGGCGTGCTTGTCGTCGTCTCTTCAGAAGACAACTATAAGGATGTTGATTTTTAGGAAAAAATAAAATATTCTCATATATTATATAGTAGCGTTTATTGTAGAACCTATTAGTGGTGTAGTGGATGTAACACAACATACATCTAGTTTGAACTTAAGAAGGCAAGGATGTAAGTTATGTGCTACATCCACTATACTAATAATAGATATTCGAAATGAAATGCTACAATAAAATATATAACTTATAATAATATTTTATTTTTTCTAAAAATCAATGTCTCTGTAAACGTCTTTTGAAGAAACAACCACAAATTCATGTTAATAGATGATAGGAAATTGATAGATCTAACCTAATTAAGCTTTCGAATTGCTCCAATGACCCAAAATTAAAAATTTCACTTTTCCAACCCAATTTATTATTTTAATATAAATCAAAAAATGTAAAATTACAAACTTATCCCTCACTTTAGAACTAATTACCATTGGTCTTCCTCCCTTTCTTCTTCCCTCTTCTTTCGTTCCCACTTTCGTCTTCCCTCTACTTTCGTCTTCCCTTGTCTGAGTTTTCTATCGAGTTTTTTTTCTTGTTCCCTATTTCATCGTTCATCCCTGTGAAACTCGTATAAAATCTAAAACGCAATCTAAAAGGTTAGTATCTCACATGTTTCAACATTTTTTTCCCACGAATCTTGGGTCTTTTGGCGATGACAGAGGTAGTATCTCACAT